GTGTGGATATTTAAGTCTTGTGAAAATGTAGCTTCTCTGTCTTTTTGCACCTCTTTGTAATTTTGAGTCGTTGTTATGAGTCTTTTGGTCATTTTGTGACTCTTGTGGTTGTTTTGTGTGAATCCATGCATTCACAGAGGACAGTTCTTCCTGAAATGTGACTCACTTGATCTTCCGGCACTCTGACTGTGTTGGTCTGTGTACACACTGATAAACAGCCTGCAGAAACAGCACCTCCTGGTTCTTCCATTGTCACTTTCATCTGCACCTTTGCAGAAATGCAACAAGAAATACAACAAGAGATTCAAACAAATTGAACAGACGTGCAAAAAAAAAATGTTGAAATGTTAAAATGAATGAAGCTTTGGACTATTTGGTACAGCCCTAGTTTCTGAATGTGTATGTTTGAATTGAATGAAATGTTAACTGTGCTCCAATAATTTACCTCTTCATTCAGTTTGTGGTTGTTTTCTGTCTCTTTGTGGTCGCTCATGCATTCACTGTGTCCAGGTGACGGTTCTGCCTCAGGGACATGTTGCTCACTCGATCTTCCTGTGTGCTGGTCTGTGTACACACTGATGAAACCTGCACAAGTGAACACCACCTCCTGGTACTTTCATCTTCACTGGCCTTGAATCAATGCAGAGATCTTTGTTGTATTTTCCGCCTCCCACTTCATCCTTCACTCTCTCATCTTTTCTGTCTCTGTCTCTTGTTTCGTCTTCATCCTTCACTCTCTCGTCTTTTCTGTCTCTTGTTTCGTCTTCATCCTTCACTCTCTCATCTTTTCTGTCTCTGTCTCTTGTTTCGTCTTCATCCTTCACTCTCTCGTCTTTTCTGTCTCTGTCTCTTGTTTCGTCTTCATCCTTCACTCTCTCGTCTTTTCTGTCTGTCTCTTGTTTCGTCTTCATCCTTCACTCTCTCGTCTTTTCTGTCTGTCTCTTGTTTCGTCTTCGTCCTTCACTCTCATCCTTTCTGTCCCTCTCTTCATCTCCCCCTTTTGAACTCTGTTTGACTTTTGGATTATAACACATTTTTCGATGGAAAGGATAAAAGGCTTACAGAGACTTTTGAATTGTGCGACTTCAAATTTCATCTAATTGACAGCTGGATTAAGGGGCTCTATTGCACTTTGATGTATCCGTATTCCTGACGGTAGGACTGACTCCTGACACCTGGTTTGGACTCTGAGCTAAATTAATATTTTATTAAGTCTTTTATATTTCGTCTCTGCGTCAGTGATTTCCTTTTTGTTTGAATGTCTCTTGTAGGTTGTTGTCAGCCGTCTGTTTCAGACGCAACTGTCGAGTCACATTAAGAACTTCCTCAGAACCAGATGTGTGAACCTCATACAGATGTGTCCAACGAGTAGTGATGACTGTAATTGATGCAGCTACAAACAAGTCTTTTGACGAGAAATCTGTCCATCTTTATAAAAGGAAAAGTGATTTAATGTCATCTAATCGTCTTTACAAACTTGACTAAATTTAACTGAATGGTTTCTGTTTTGTAGATTATAACCTTTATTTTAATAACATTTAATGACTATTTCCAACGTATAACAAGTTGTACAGGATCTGTATTACCGATGCACGGTGTGAGTACACTGATCCTTAGTATGTACAGGAGCAGAGTGAAAGCCACTGAGTGAAACCTCTTGAGGAGATGAGACACGTGGGAGGGATCGGCTGATTACAAAATATAATATAGCAGATATCGTGCCTTTAAATGAGGCAGAATAAAGAGACTTAGTGGAGCAGAAGGTGGCGGTTTGCTTATGTGAAGGTGGAAGTAGGTGAGCTTAAAGACTGACCAGGACTCAAAGACTCTAAAATCTACATGAATGAAGGAAACAGAGTTCAGAACAAAGTCAGAAGACTGGTTTCCGGATTATTTGTTTGGTCTATAAATTCAGAGCATGAGGTGATAAAATAGTTTGTTTTGACCGTCCAACAGTCCAAAACTCACAAAAACACATTCTGTTTATTATCTCATAAGACAAAAGGAAACTGCAGCAAATCTTCACATTTGAGAAGCTGGAAACAATCGCTTTTTAGCTTGAAATGGTTACTTGGTTATCAAAACGATTGCCGATAAATGTTCAATATATTTACTTTCCAGTTTATGGATCTTATTTCATTTTTAACATTCATGTTTCCAGGATATTTCCATTGAGATTCAAAATATCTTTACAAGTGAGTCTCGGCCAAGTGAGCCGCATTAGAGTTTCACATAAAAACACAAATAACAAATAAGACAGATACAAAATAAATGTACTATTAAAAACATTGCAACACTAATTATTTATATGAATTATAAATAAAATGGGACCTAATATGGACCCTTGAGGGACACCGTTTTTTAAATGAATTTAAAAAGCTAGAAAATAGACCATCACCGTGGACACTTTACGTTGTGCCACTCAAGTCATTTTCAAACCATCAAACAGACGACAGCCTTCAGCGGTTTTATTTTATAAAACCAGACTGTAAGTCATTAAGATATAAATGATAAAAACCTCTTTTAATTGGGACTTAAATCCCTTCTAAACCCTTTGCTAACAATGAAAGTTTCGATTTTGGCCTTTAGTTGTTGGGGTTAGATGGACGAGGAATCCAACATTTCTGCATCTGTGTTCATGTTGTTGGTCCAATTAAATTAGTCAGAACGAAATCCTCCATCTCAAGAGAGGAACACTAAATGTCCATCTCTCGCTTTGAAAGCAAAAGCTACTAAAATAGAAAGGGAGTAGTTGCTGTCGGAGGTGTTGATGTTTTATTCACGGTAGAAAAGAGGCGAGAAAAGAAGAGGACATCACAGATTGGCTCCTGACAGCAGATCATTTCTTCATCGATATTCTGCGGTCAAACTGCTGCAGACGCTAAATGATTACCTGCTCACACAAAGTCAGCTGGTCCGGTTAAACCTGACAATGTGAGATGAAGATCAACTGCAGGTGTCAAAAGGTCCAGCTGTTGAGAAACTTACATGAGCAATCAACGGAGAAGGAGACCAGGTGTGAACATTGAAGAAGTGAAAGCAAAGGGGGGGGGGGGTTGATGAAGAGGAGAAGGAAAGAAAGAAACTGGAGCATTGATGAATGAATGGGAGCGAAGAAAGTCTAATAGCATGACAGGCAGACAAAGAACTGCTGCTGTTGGAGAAGAGGACAAAGAGAGCAGCAGAAGAAGACAAAGTACGACTCTCGAGTCTCTTTGTGGTCGTTTTTAAGTGTCTTTTTTGAGTCTTTGTGGTAGTTCTTGAGTCTTTGTGGTCATTTGGAATCTCTGTGGTGGTTTTGAGTCTCTGTGGTGGTTTTGAGTCTCTCTGTGGTGGTTTTGAGTCTCTGTGGTGGTCTTGAGTCTCTTTGTGGTGGTTTCCAGGGGGTTTCAGTAGAGACGTCTGTCCACTGTGAAACACCTGAACTGCATGAAGACAGTTAAACCTCTTCAACCTCTCGACAAAAATCCTGATTTAACGTCCTCTAATATAATAATAATATTCCACAAGCGCTCAATCAATCCTTCACCTGTAATTACGCTCTTTTCCCTCTTGCGTAATGTTCCAGCTCTGCAGCAGTTTGACAGCCAGTGAGAGTGCTGTGGGTGGTGAAGAGTGACGGGGGAGGAAAAAGGAAAGGTGGTACTTTATATGGAGGAGGTATAAAGGAGAGGAGGAGGAGGGGGGGGGGGGGGGGGAAGACAGCGTTCTGTGTGGATACGACAGACGGGAGGAAAGTGAAAGTCGAAGATAGAAAGTAAGTTTCATCGGAAAAAACATCTAGAGCTCCTTTGAGACCTGAACCTCCTGACGTTAATCTGAAGATAATTAAACACGTCGCTCTCTATCATTGTTATGTTTGTATCATCTCAGTCTCAGAGAAATCTGTTTAATAAACTATGAAACTATGTGAGAGAGGCCGTTAAACAGTAAAACTCTTAACATGCAGCATGAGAGTCAAGAGTCCTTCATGTGATGTCATCGAACAGGAAGCAGGAAGGACTTCCTGTTCCCTCGCCTGGAAGTCGATGTTTTTTTAATGTGTTTTTGGATAAATGGCTGAAATAACACAAGATTAAGAGATTTTTAAGTTTTTGTCTACGATATGATTGGCCGTAAATATTCATCTGATGGATTTAGATGTTTTACGTTTTTTTAAAAGAGTCTAAATGAGACGACTAAACGTTTTTGTGGCGGGAACCAGTGATGCTAAGTTCTGTGTTGGCCTACAAAAATGCATCATCCTGCAGCACTCTATTTATTGTTTACAGCGTCTCCAATGTGAGAGGGAGGAGGAGGGGAGGAGGACAGAGAACAGAGGGAGGAAGGATGGAGGACAGAGAAGAGAGGGGTGAAGGAGGGAGAGAGGAGGAGGTGGTTGGAGAAAAGAGGGATGATGAGTGGAGGAGAGAGAGAGGGGGGATGGGCGAGAGAGAGAGGATGAAGGACGGAGAAGAGAGTAGGGGTAAAGGAGGGAGAGAGGTGAGGTAGAGGAAAGAATGAGGATGAGTGGAGGAGGGAGAACAAAGGGAGGAGGAGAGAGAGTGGGGATGGGGAAGAGAGGTAGGAGGGGTTGAGGAGAGAGAAGAGATGGAGGAGGAGAGAGGAAGGAAGGATGGAGGAGGGAGAAGAGAGTGGAGGAGGATGAGGAGGCTGGGTGGAGGAAAGAGAGCGGAGGGAGAAGAGAGGGAGGGGGAGAGAGGAAGGAAGGACGGAGAAGAGATTAGAGGTGAAGGAGGGAGAAAGGAGAGGAGGACGAGGAGATTGTGTAAAGGACAGAGGGCAGGAGGAGAGAGAAGAGAGGGAGGGTGAGGAGAGAGAAGAGAGGGAGGGTGAGGAGAGAGAAGAGAGGGAGGGTGAGGAGAGAGAAGAGAGGGAGGGAGAGGAGAGAGAAGAGAGGGAGGGAGAGGAGAGAGAGTAGGGGGAGAGAGGGAGGAGGGTCTGAGTCAGTGAAAGTGAAGAAAGGTTGTGAAGCTAAAACATATGAAGTGAACAGATGGAAGAAAAGTGAAGAAGAAGACAGAGGGTGTGAAGATGAAGATGATGGTGGTGGTGATGATGATGACGCCCTCCAGAAAGGCGTTTTTCTCGACACCTGTGGTGTTAACTCAGACGTCCCATGATGCACTGGGGCTAAAGATACCAATAGGAAAGTCATGTTGTTATTCTGCTGATTAAAAAGAACAAATGTCTGGTTTCTCTTTTCAATAACGAGGCGGTTAAACAAACCTTCATGTATCGTCTTTGTCTTTAAAATATGTTTTTAATAACACATTAATCTGAGCTTCACCGTGTTACCTTAAAGAGCCGGGCTAGCTGTTCCCCTCTGTTTCCAGTCTTTATGCTAAGCTACGCTAACATGCAAGAAAGAGAAGAAGATTCACTAAATGTTGAGCTGTTCCTTTATTATTATTATTATTATTATTATGATGATGATAAAAATGTTCCAGATGTTCTGACAAACTGATTTGTTTCTCCGTCGTAGCCGACCAGTGAGGAAGACCTCTGCCCCATCTGCTACGCTCACTCCATCTCCGCCGTCTTCAAGCCCTGCTCCCACAAGTCCTGCAAGTGAGTCCAAACACCCACCAACACACACACACACACACACCCTTTCATGTGTAACACCCCACACACACATTTCATCTCCTGCCTCCTCACTCACAAACACAAGTTCTGCAGAATCTGGAGGAAAAAAGTTTGTGTTGCAGGAGTCACGAAGTGAGATGCTCAGACATGATCCAGAAAATATGTATTTAAGAATAAAACGTGTATATATACATGAATACAGCCATACACACCTAAACAATAATGATTAAATAAAGCAGGTTTCATTATTAATGTTTGTTTCATTATTTTTACATCATTCTGTAGCTTCCTGTTGGTGTTTATTCAGTATCTATATATACTGTGTATATATATATGTGTATATATATATACACACATATATATATACACATATATATATATACTGTGTATATATATATGTGTATATATATGTGTGTATATATATGTGTGTATATATATATGTGTATATATATATGTGTATATATATATGTGTATATATATATATGTGTATATATATATATGTGT